AGATGAATGCCAAAACTGAGCCCACGACAGCAAGTCATTGGAAAGCTGAATGGGCCATTTCCTCTCTAGCAAATTCTTGGTAGAGTGAAGCGGTGGTATGGGAGAGTAAGGGGCGCCTGGCGTAGATTCCACTGGGGAGCTGTGAATCGGGTATCCGAGGTGCTCCGAGCAATTTTCCGTTTGCTTGTCCTCCTCACTGGGAAATGGGCTAGCAGGAAAATCTGGATCTTGGATGGGAGTATTTGAATTCAAGACGGGTCGAGACGCTTCTGACACGACCCCTAGCGAAAAACTGGTGCGGTGGCTGGCGTAGCAGCTGCAGCGGCCAAAAGCTCGCTGTCGCTGTCGTCCTTGCCTGCAGGCTCGGCTTCGGCCTCCGTAGCCTGCCTGGTTGCGGCCTCCGCCTGGGCTGCCTCTCGCTGGGCGATGTCGGCTGCTCCTGCTCCCATCGGTCCTTCTCCTGCCGTGCTTGTGCGCATGGTCTTGGCACCGGCTTGCCCACTATCTTCGACGTGGGGATGCTGATCTTACTGTGACACGGCCGCGCAGCAACGCTGCCATGCGGGCGCGTCCTGCTTGCTGGGCCTCTGGGTCGGCGGGCTGTTGGTACTTCTTGGGGCCGTTCGACTGCGCCGCCATGGCTTGCTGCGCGGCCTCCGCGGCGGCCTGGCGCATCTTGTTCATGTCCTCCTCCTTCTCAGTTCTGAGCGTGCTGATCTCCGTCTGCAGCGTGGTAACGGCGGTCTGGAAGTTCCTCATGTTGGCGAGCAGCTGCGCATTACTCTGTTGCAATGCCGCGATCAGTGTTGGCATGGCGATGTCACTCGCTGCTGCAGACTGCGCCCCATCCAGGTGGTGCTACCTGCTGAGGAGGCTGCGCAGCGGCCCTCGGGGGGGGGGGGGGGTGGTGGCTGCTACGTCTGCATGGCGAGCTCCTTTCCCTGATGCCGCGGGCCATGTGTGGTGGCCTGGGCGTGAGGGGGTGGTCGCGGCGGTGGAGGCAACGGATGCCTTACCTGGCGACTGGGGGGTCGGAGCTCTATGTCCTGGTCTAAAGTGTCCTGCGGCACCATCTTCCTCGGCCATGCGAGCGTCGTCATCGTCTTCTTCATCATTAGCTGCTCTTGCTGACATGACTGGTAGCGAATCTTCGAGCTCCTCGAAGTGCTCTAGCAGTTGCTCTGCCTGTGTAACTTCTTCCTGCAAATGCTGACATTGAACTTCCGCTGCGTCGATCTGTTCATACAAAAGGTTCAACTTCGCAGTGGCATCTGTCAGGCGTCTGCGACAACGATTGACGAACAACCTTTGTTTGGTCACTCTTGCCTGCGGCGAACGACTGTGCGTGAGCTGATACAGAACAACTGCATATTCTTCTTGCAGAGCCGAAATTTGCTGGGCATCGAACGTGAGAGCATCTGCACAACGAATTTGCCTCTCCAACGACTCCTTGGTTGATGTGAGGGCTTTGCGATATTCTCCCAGCAATCTCGGATCCTCTGGCGGATCCCTCCATCTTTTGTGACTGGTGGCAATCTCAGGCGTGGCCGGTAACAAAGGTATGAGATCGTCCTGTGACTCCTGCTGATCTCCTGCCGTTGATTTAGCTGCATCTCCATGTGGCGGCTGGGCTGAGGCGGCTCTTCTTCTCGGTGCACGCGAAGCTGATCGCGTGCGCCATGGGCGCTCACTCGACTACTGAGACATGGAGGGGAAGCACTTCTTGCATGTGTACGAATCCCAGGGGTTGGCACATGCACACGCTGGACATTCCCATAGTTTCTTGAAGCTCTGCTGCGCGCGCTGCAATGGCACTGACTTAGCGCCTTCCCCTTTGTTCTGGAACTGTCGTGATCCCTGTCTGGCACCCATTGGACTGGAATGGTGCTGTCTGAGTAGCTCTGCTGCTGCGGCAACCTGCGCGAGCACCTTAGCTCTGCTGCAAGCCTGGCGCTGTCGTCGGTGCCACGCGGGCCCCCCCGCTGTCGTCTGCCCGTCTCCGTGGCAAACGACTGAATCACGGCTGCCCTGCTGCACGCTGGGCGCGGCGGGCGGGCGCGTGTGGCAGCAGTCCTGAGGAGGCTCGCAGGGCGGAGGCACTGGGTACCTGGGCGCTGCACCCAAAGCCTCGAACCGGGACGGCGGCTAGGAGGAGGAGGGAGGAGGAGGGAGGAGGAGGGAGGAGGACGAAGAGGAGGAAGAGGAGGGACGAAGAGGAGGAGGAAGAGGAGGGACGAAGGGGAGGAGGAGGGGGAGGAGGAAGAGGAGGAGGAGGAGGACGAAGATCCCTGAAGCCTTAAGAAAAGCGGTGGACTTCCATCCAGCGGTCGAGTGGCAATGGCTGAGGAGCGCTGATCAGCTAGCCGCCGCGTATCCCCGCCTGGAGGGCGACGCGTTCCATTTTGAGACGGCGCCCCATCTTGCTGCTGCTCATCACTTACCCTCTCCCGAGAAGGAGACTCCAGTAGAAGCAGAGTTGGACCGTCGGGCTGCTTCTTATAATCCCGGCTCGCTCAAGGCCTCGGTCACCAAAATGAACAAGAGGGCCAGGGCCACCGCGAGACGCGAGCTATTCGTGGCCCAGGCACTCTTGCAGAGGTGGTTGATTATCGGCGTCCAGCTGGCCAGGAACCCCAAGAAAGCCCAGAAGGCGAAAGGTTACCTTATCTATAGTTCTGGCGGATCTGGCCCTAAAGACAGAAACCACGGGGTGGAGCTATGGCTATCTACTACGGTCCCATATGGGCATAAAGATGGCAAACAACTCTTTCTCGGTCCTAAATGTTGTGTTGTGGTTTACGCTACCCCGAGGTTACTAGTGGCTAAGGTCAAGGCCACAGCGTTAGATCTCACAGTGGCGGTGGGCCACGCACCGCGCAATCAGGCCCCTGAGGCTGAGAGGGATGCCTTTTGGAAGGCAGTCGAGTCATTGAATGATAAGTGGGCCTTCGACATCCTACTATTAGATGCCAGCGCCAGGCTCGGCGAGGTCACTAGCGAGTACGTCGGAGGCGAGCAACGCCCCCAGCCCCAAGATGAGAATGGCGACGCTCTGCACGAGTTTTTGGCGGAGGGGGAGGTTTATGCCACTAAAACTCGTTCACCTGCTTATGGCCCTGGACATACCTGGACCGCGCACAACATGGCCACGCATAGGATCGACTACATATGCGTTGACAAGTTCCTGTGGGGCCACGTCCGCGGCTCTACCCCCCTCCATTGCTTTGACTCTGGCGGCAAGCACATCGATCATGTTCCCGCCCAAGCCGCTCTTGCGTGGACTGCTCAGGGCCGGGTCAAGCGGGGAACCAAACTTCTGGACCGCGATAAAATGAAGGACCCGCGCGCCCAGGATAAGTTTCGGGCCCTACTTCGGGCCGTCCCTGTCCCGCCTTGGGCTCACAACATACATGATCAGGTCAAGCAACTCACGGATCTTGCGAACGCCTTTGCAATATAATGTTTTGCTGTGGAGGCCTTGCGGCCCAAGAAACCATGCACGTCCTGAGCTTCTTTCGCCCTTATTAGGATCCGAAGAGCCTGCTTCAAGGCCGGGGGAAGCCAGTTTTCGACCCAGGACCCTCCCTCGATCGATCAGGCTCGAAAAATCTGTGCCTCGGCTTGCCGCCTCACTCGGGGGCACCTGGTTGATTTTGTGGGAAAAAACAGAGGGTTCGCCCGCTGCGCCCATGGTTCAGTTTCTTTGTACCCATGCCAGGCTGCACATCCGGCGGCAAACGACCCCCCATGAGTGGGCTTGTGTCATCGCGGGCATTTTGAGCCTTAGCAGGCCTGCCCTGAGAGGGATGTTGAATGCCGGCAAACAGGGTTTCCTCGACCGACAAGCTGAAGAAATTCGCGCCCATGCTGAGGGCAAGCATAGTCAGAGGGAGTGGAACACTGTTAGAGGGGTCCTCGCTTTTGGCGGCCGCCCGCCCAAATATGCTTGCACTTTGCCTATGCGACACGATAAGGAAGGTAACCCCATCCCTACTCTTGCCAAGATAGCCGAGCACATGCAGACCTATTTTGGTGACATAGAGCATGCCAGGCAGTTGACTCCTCAGGCCCTTGCTGATGAGTATAATGCTAGGAGCTCGATTATCAAGAGCGACACGCAGCTTAACATTTCTGTGGTTCCCTCGCGAATTGAGTTGGCTAGACGATTCGCGGGCGGTCCCAGGGGCAAGGCGGGGGGGCCCGATAAACTGACTGACGACCTCTTGCGCGCCGCGTTCCACGAATTTGCTCGCCTGGCGCACCCTGTTGTGCTTAAAACCAGCCTTTTAGGCGTGGAGCCAATCCAGTTTAAGGGGGGGCTTGTTGCGGAGATCCCGAAAGGTAAAGGAGCCCCCCATCTCGATATTGACTATCGTTCTATTCTCCTGGGCAACGTCATACCCAAACACCACCGCCGGTTCCTAAGAGACAGGTGGAAGACCCTCCTCGGCATGATCCTCAAAGCTACTCAATGTGGCGGGCGCGAGGGCATGGGCACAGACCATGCTACCCATTCGGTTTGTCGTGGCTCCAGGTTGCCAAGGCCCAGGGGAAATGCATCAGTTTGGCCTCAGTGGATCTCTACGCGGCGTTTTATATTGTTTTGTAGCAACTGGTCTTGAGCCTCCCAAGAGACCCCGACGAAATCCTCGACTTGATCCAGAGCGTGGACATACCGACGGCATTCCCGGAAGGGCTCAAAGTGGCCTTGCAAGGCCCCCCCATCTTGGAGCAGCATTGTGATGATAGTCAGTTCCTTGCCATTGTAGCCGAAGTGAACAGAGCGCCATGGTGGAAGATGCCTGGTACCAACACCTTTGCAGCCCCCCGCGCTGGATCGCGGCCTGGAATGCCCCCGGCCAACGATGCATTTAACATGTTTTTTTTCAATTGTGATTGGGATCATCGAGCAGGACCTCTCGGATGAAGGACTCGCCCTTGACCTCCAATCATTACTTGCCCAGCCTCGGGTGTTCGCGCGCGCAGGCGCGGTGCCGCCGATGGCCGCGGTTTCCCTTGTCGACGATCCCACCGCGAAAGCAGCAGTGGACCACCCGGAGCAGGTCACCGCGAAGGCCCAACGGCTTATCGAAATCCTCCACAACCGGATCGGCCCGACAGGGCTCAAGGTCAATTTCGGCAAGTCGGTGCTCTTGATCACATTTTCAGGTAAGGGGTATAAGAAACGCGAGCTCCTGATCAGAAAAGCCGACGCCCCAGCAATCACAACTGAAGGTGGACAATATTTTCGAGTTGTTCGAGTGCACAAGTCTTTAGGTACGCACCTTACAGACAACGGCAGCTGGGGGCCCGAGGTGGCGGCTAGAATTGCATCTACGCGTTCAGGTATTGGACCAATCAGACGTACTATTGGGAAAAGCCGCGAAGGACCCCGGACCAAATCAAAGTTGACATATGCTGACGCTTTGGGCATGAGCAAACTTATTTTTAACTGCGGGATCTGGGGGCCACTGGGAAGCCGAGCTGCTGCCGCTTTCAATAAAGCTTTCCATAGTGTTTATCGTGCGGTTGAACCCCGTGGTGAGTCTAACCAAGACGGCCCCAAGAGACCACTAGCCCCGCCCAGACCAGTATCTCGCGCTGGCACGGTTGCGGTACCTCCCCCGGCTTCTGAGACACGCTCCTCAATCACTCTTAGCGGCACTCGATGTTTTGTATCATTCTCATTCTGATTGGGTAGCGCTTCTGGGGGCGGATCTTGCCTGGCTTAATGACAGACTCAACGATAGCCGGGGGCAGGACGGGCATGTGGGACACAGCTTCGAAGAATGGATCGAGTGCGCCCGCGCGGGCCCTGGATATTTCAAGAGCCGACTCGACAAAGCCAAACAAAGCCAACTTTTCTTAAACAAAGACGCGGCGAGGCTTCGGGAGTTGCACACCGCTTTACAGGACCTCTGCCATAATAGCGGATTCGTCGCCCCGTTCTTGGAAAAGCAGAAAACGAACCTTATCTACATGTGCTATGATTGTGGATTTCAGGCCTCGGCCCCTAGCGCCCTCAAGATCCATGTTAGCAGAAATCACACTAAGGTGGACGGCCCCATATTTTGGATGAAGGGCACTTTCTGCGAGAGCTGCCGTATGCAGCATCGTACCATGGCTAGGCTTCATAAACACTTAGTTCGAAGTCCAAGGTGCAGAGAGGCCTGGCGGCCCATGATGCCCCCCGAGACCCCCGAGCAGCTTGCTGAGGACAGGGGGGGCATCATCGCTGCCAGGAAAGCTAACCGTAAAGCGGGGAGACCTGAACACCTTGCTGAGAAACCGGCTTTTCGGGTCCCTGGGATTTCGATTTGCCCCCCTGCCCAGGTCCCGAGAGAAAAACGTGCTTGGAAACCCTTGCCCATGGCTCGAGCTGATTCTGGGGATAGAGCCCTTGCGGGCCAGGTTCCCAGGCCACCCGGCCAGCCTACCATGTATCTCTTGCATTTTTTCGCTGGGGCCCGACGCGAGTTTGACATCCAGCATGAGTTTGAGAGGGCAGCCGAGTCCTTTCCTGTCTCTGTCTGGGTGATCAGCCTTGACGTGGCTCACGACCCCATCCGCGGTGATGTTTCGAGGCCGGAGACGATCCGTTTTTGGTATCGCGCCATGGCTGGCGGCAAGGTCGCCGGATTCTGGGCTGGCCCTCCGTGCGAGACTTGGTCGCAGGCCCGCCTCCGTGACACCGCCGAGTGTAGGGGTCCCCCGCCAAGGCCTCTCCGCACCCCTGGCAAGCCTTGGGGCCTTGGCGACCTTATCCCCAAGGAAGCCAGGCAGGTTGAGGCGGGGAACCTGCTGCTCCGCACGACGATTTACTTCCTCTTCGTTGCCCTCCGCTTCGAAATCCCAGCGGTGATGGAGCACCCTGCTCCTCCCTTCCGCCTGGGGGCCCCTTCGGCGTGGAAGCTCGACGAGTTGGATTTCCTCCTCGGGCGGCCCGAGGTCGAGGGGGTCCTCATCGACCAGTGCGTTTTCGGGGCGCCGTCGATGAAGCCTACTCTCCTCCTCTCGGTTCACCTTCCTTCTCTTGGCCTGGGGGCACGGGCTGCTCGGGGGGGCGGGAGGTGCTTCCATGGCCCTCGAGGCCACGAGACCCTTGCGGGCATGGAGGGCAATTGGCAGTGGCGCACCTCTCGGGCTAAGGCGTACCCCCAGGGCATGTGCCGTCTTGCTGCTTCTGCTTTCCTTCAGGTCTTCCAGGGGAGATGGCCGCATGTCTGGGGAGCCTCTTCGGAGGAGGTCGAGCCGGACTTCATGGCCTTCTGGGAGCCCCTGGATCCGTACGTCACCCGAGTCATGGGCAACGACTTTGCTCGTGAACTCTCTCGCCCAGAGCCCTAGCGGGCCCGAGGCAACACGGTGCGAGGCCTCGGCCCGCCCTGCCCCTTTTGGGTGTCGGGACCCCGTTCCTGCCCTGGCAGGCTCCCGGGTTCATCGCATGCTTCGCGTGCTCTCTTTCGCTCTTGCTTTGCCCTTGTCCTGTCTCGTGTTCCCTCTTCCTGGCGGGTGTCGCTTCGTGCACTTCATCCTGACCCCAAGTCCAAGAAGGAGGAGGAGGAGGAGGAGGAGGAGGAGGAGGCGGAGGAGGAGGAGGAGGAGGAGGAGGAGGAGGAGGAGGAGGAGGAAGAGGAGGAGGAGGAGGAGGAGGTGGAGGAGGAGGAGGAGGAGGAGGACGACCACGACAATGTCGGCGACGACTACGACAACCTCAGCGACGACGACGACGATGCCGACGACGTTGACGACGGCTGCGGCGACTACCAAGGCGAGAACGGCTGCGACGATGACGACGACGGCGGTGGTGACGACCACGACCACGACGACGACAGCTACGCGTGATGACGACGGCGACGGCAACGACGACCGCTACGCGGGACGGCGACGGCGACGACGGTGACGTCGACGTCGACCGCGGCGACGGCGGCGACCTCGGCGGGCGGCGTCCGCCATCTTCGGCCCGCCAGCGGCGGAGGTCCGCGTGGCCTCCGCCGCTCGGGCCGGGCCCTCGCAGCAGCGCCTGGAGCGGCTCTGCGGCGGCGCCAGCTGCCTGCGCCTCGCCGCCAACGACGGGCCGTCCGTGGGCGCGGCGCTCGAGGCGTCCAGGACGGCGCCTCGCCTCGGCCCCCCTCTGAGGTCTGGGCGTCGCGAGTTGTTTACCCCTGGCGTTTTCGCGCGGCCTCGGGCCCCAGGACCATCACATATCGATCCAGCTCAAAAAACGCCACCGAAGGAATGGGCCTCGGGGTCCTGTCGTGATCTTCCGCGAGGTTGCAGCTGTTTCGTGGCGTTGGGTCCCAGGGCTGTCCTGAAGACGCCTCGCCTGGACTCCTCGCCTGGATGACACGCCTCGGCGCCTCGCCTCGGCGCCTCGCCCCGATGCTTTGCCTCGCTGCCTCGCCTGAGGGCGCTTCGCCTCCGAGGCCTTGCCTCGCCTCCTCGGCGCCGCCCCTGGCGACCCACGCCGAAGCCCCCTCGGCCCCTCGACGCCCCCCGTGTGGAGGCGCCGGGTGCGGTTCCAGACGGGGTGCCTCCTCGGACGCACCCTCAGCGCCCGCCGCGCCCGCGCGATCTGCTCGCAGTCTTTTCTTCCTCTCTCCTCACTCCTCTTCGTTCTCCCTCCTTCTCTTTTGACGCTGCGCGAACTTAAGCCGATGCCCTTTAGCGTTCTCTAGGACGAGAAAAGGGTTGCCGACTTCGGCGTAGCGCGACAGATTAAGCGTGCGGCAGCAGGAAACAAGACAACAGGCATCAATAACGTAGGCCCAATGGCAGAAGTATGTGTTGACCGTGCAGGTGGGAACGAGGAGACCGAAGGAAAAGCAGTAACACAAGTAGCTGAGACGAGGAGGCACCAGACGAGGGGGAGGTCGAAATACTCGTGCACAGTAGCCAGGTTAGTCAAGTATGCCAGAAAAGAAACGTGTTGCAAGAAATAGCAAAATGGGAGCAAGCGAACAGTTGCGCACTGAGGCCTAGAGTATCGTTGTGGTGCCGGCTGGCGCAGGCGGTAGTGGCTGGCCTGGATACGCTGAGCACCCTCCAGTGCTTAAGCTCGAGCGTGCTGGTCGTTTTCTCCCTACCCATGGCATCCCCCAATCTTAATGTAAAACAAAACCCGACCGACCATAGTAAAATACATTGGATTGCAGAGAAGCAAGAGGTGAGTTGAGTGGCAAGGTGACACTAGTACGGAAGGCGACGGCTTAGGTGGAACTTTTCTCCCTCCTCCTCCTCCTCCTCCGCCAGGGGCGCCGGAGGCGCGGAGGCGTCGAGTAGTCGATGGTGCGTCCGAGGAGGCGCCCAGGCGATGAGGAGGGGAGGGTCAGGGGCAAAGATAGGGCGGGATAGGCTAAGAGGGGTGATGCATCGACCCCAATCGCCCATTGATCGTCGATAGGGGTGACGGAAAGAGCGAGGTACGAGTGATGACGTTGAGTTGGGGCGAAGCCTCCTAGGGAGGGGTCCAGGGGAGGGGCGAGGCCCAGGCACAATGGTCGAATGGCCCGTTTCCTTCTTATTATTTCGAGTGAAGCGGCTCCCGGGCGGCTCCCATGGCCCGTTTCTTTATACATTTGTTCTAGTGAAGCGGCCCAAGGGCCACAAGACGGCCCAAGAGGGCCCCAATACGGGCTCAAGAGAGTTTCAGGCGCCAAACGGCCCCAGATGGCCCCCAGACGGCCCAAGAGGGCCCCAATACAGCCAAGAGGGCCCCCAGGGCCCTAAGAGAGCTCAAGAGGGCCCCAATAGACTCCCAACCGGGCCAGGAGAGGAGGAGGAGGAGGAGGAGGAGGAGGAGGAGGAGGAGGAGGAGGAGGAGGAGGAGGAGGAGGAGGAGGAGGAGGAGGAGGAGGGCGGAGGAGGAGGAGGAGGAGGAGGAGGGGAGGAGGAGGAGGAGGAGGAGGAGGAGGAGGGAGGAGGAGGAGGAGGAGAGGAGGAGGAGGAGGAGGAGGAAGAGGCGGAGGAGGAGAGCGGAGGAGGAGGAGGAGGAGGAGGAGGAGGGGAGGGGAGGAGGAGGAGGAGGAGGAGGAGGAGGAGGAGGAGGAGGAGGAGAGGAGGAGGAGGAGGAGGAGGGGAGGAGGAGGAGAGAGGAGAGGAGGAGGGGAGGAGGGAGGAGGGAGGAGGGAGGAGGGAGGAGGGAGCAGGGAGGAGGGGGAGGAGGGAGGAGGGAGGAGGGGAGGAGGAGGGGGAGGAGGGAGGAGGGAGGAGGGAGAGAGGAGGAGGAGGAGGAGGAGGAGGAGGAGGAGGAGGAGGAGGAGGGAGGAGGAGGGGAGGAGAGGAGGAGTGGGAGGAGGGAGGAGGGAGGAGGAGGAGGAGGAGGAGGAGGAGGAGGCGGAGGAGGAGGAGGATGAGGAGGAGGAGGAGGAGGAGGAAGGTGGAGGAGGAGGAGGAGGATGGAGGAAGAGGTAGAAGGAGGAGGAGGAGCAGGAGGAAGGAGGAGGAGGGAGAAGAGGTGGAGGAGGTGGAGGAGGGAAATAATAAGGAGGAGAAGTAGGAGGAGGAGGAGGAGGAGGAGGGAAGAGGAGTAGAAAGAGAGATGAGGAGGAGGAGGAGGAGGAGGAGGAGGAGGAGGAGGAGGAGGGAGGAGGAGGAGGACAAGGACGAGGACGAGGGAGGAGGAGGAGGAGGAGGAGGACGAGGAGGAGGAGGAGGAGGAGGAGGAGGGGAGGAGGAGGAGGAGGAGGAGGAGGAGGAGGGGAGGAGGAGGAGGAGGAGGAGGAGAGGAGAACGAGGCGTAGAAAAAGGAGGTGGAGGACAAGGACGAGGACGAGGGAGGAGGAGGAGGAGGAGGAGGAGGAGGAGGAGGAGGAGGAGGAGGAGACGTAAGAAGCTTTTCACACCCAGGCTCCCAAGCACGAAGGTGACATAAAACAACTCGTCACACCAAGGCTCCCAAGAGCGAACGGCAACGTAAACATCTCTGAACACCAGGGCTCCCAACAGAGAGTGGTGACGTAACAAGCTTTTCCCACCAAGGCTCCCAAGAGCGAACGGTGGCGTGACAAACTCGTGCCCACCAAGGCTCCCAAGAGCGAGCGGTGCCGTACACAACTCTCAACACCAAGGTTCCCAAGAGCGAGCGACAACGTCAAAGTCTCGGAACACCAATGCTCCCAAGAGCGAGCGGTGACGTCACAAACTCCTTACCGCCAAGGCTCCCAAGAGCGAAGGGTGCCATGAGCCCTCTCGGGCAGGTTGCTGCAGCGCTCTTTCCGTTCCAGTGCCGGCCCAGGTTTAATGGCCCCACCCCGCCCACCCCTTTTTTGGTGTTGGCCAGGGAGAGGGGTCGAGGGCGCCAGCAGCACAGCAGCAGAACCATCCGCAGGTCCAAGGTCCAAGGGGGAGGAGGAGGCAGAGGAGGGGATGGAGGGAAGCCGCAGGCGATCGTGTGAGCCGCAGCAGGTGCCCTGCCCGGCGGCCGCGCGGGGCTCGCGACCGCCCGAAGCGCGCGAAGGAAGGAAGGACGGACGGAAGGAAGGAAGGAATGTCGGAAGGAAGCAAGGGGGGGGAGGAGGGGGAGGGGAAGAGGGGTGACGATGGGGTCTGGAAAGTGCTGGGGGTTGCCCTTCTCGCTATTTCGGCATCTGTGCTGTTGCCGCGGAGAACTGTCTTCCCTGAGGTCGGCTTCGTTTCAAAACCTCACCTTGGGCGAGAACCTGCGGAGTCGGAGGTTTCGGTAGCGTCTCAGGAGACTGGGCCTCAGGAGACCCGCCGCTGATAGGTTACAGATGACACCAACGATGACGACTGGGGGGATGAGGAAGAGGATGCGTGGGACCAGAGCAAACCCAGGGTGCATCAATGATCGTGCCGTGCGCCCTCCCGTCCCAAGCCCACTCCTCACAAGGCCCGACAAGCATCGCTTTTCACTGCGGGAAGTGCACCCCCTCTGACAGACAGGCGTCCCTTGTGGCGCGTTCCAGCAAGCGTCTCGCCTTCGGCGCAACTCGCCTTCGGGGGAAGCCGGTGGAAGGCCGGCGGAAGCTGGCGGGAGTCGAGCTGCAGTGGGTCCGCCGGCGGAGGGCGGCGGACCTGGAGCGAGACGCCAGCCATTCTGGATCCAGTGCTTCTGGACTCCAGCGTTTGGCTTGCCTCTCAGGCCACTGACCCCGCTGTGAGAAGCACCCGCGCTCCTGTCCTGCCAGCTCCACGAGGCTGGCGCCAGATCAGGCGTCCCAGGAGGGGGGGGGGGCGAACCAGGAGGACAACTTCGTGTACGAGTATGTCTGAGGCACTGCGGTGCCACCCACCCGCGCCCCTTGCAGGGCAGGGCGCTGCCGGAGACTGGGTACCGTTCGTTCGTTCGTTCGGGGGGGGGCATGAGGGGCAACGTCAGGGGGGGATGTGCTCAGGAGGGGGGGTATTGCTGGAGGTGCCCCTGGCCCGAGGTGCCCCCAGGATCTCCAAGGGGCCCCCACGGCCTCCAGAGAAGCCCCAACGGCCTCCAGAGAACCCCTCATGAGGCCGAGAGGGCCCCAGGCGCTCCAAAACTGTGCGAAAAGCTGGGGGTACCTTTGGGCTAGGGGCATCTTTAGCAACACCCGACCAGGGGGGGATGCATCGACCCTAGTCGCCCATTCATCGCCGATAGGGCCCCGATAGCCTACCCCGCCCAGGAACGTGCGGTTTCGCTATCCGGGCCCATCGCCGATTTGTCGGCGATGCATTGCCGCTTCAAACTCGATGTTTATGTTTTCGCCCTTGTGCCGTCCCACCTATCGTTTTCCCTGAGCAACCTTGAGATTCGAAGCCGCGAGAAACGTATAACATCGTGGGAGCCCTGGACCCCATACTATGATGATGATGATGATGATGATGATGATGAGGAGGAGGAGGAGGAGGAGGAGGAGGAGGAGGAGGAGGAGGAGGAGGAGTAGGAGGAGGAGGAGGAGGAGGAGGAGGAGGATGAGGAGGAGGAGGAGGAGGAAAATGAGGAGGAGGAGGAGGAGAAGGAGGAGGAGGAGGAGGAGGAGGTGGTAAAAGTGAGCGCCGCAGCTGAAGAGAGTGTTACTTCGCCATCCGTGCCTGCAGCGAAACCTTATAGGTGGCACAGCCTCACAAGTTCGCCACTTGTGACTTCGTGAAATTCGCATGTGTCGGCCTGCTGCTGGGCCCTATCCGTTTTGACTTTTTACAGGAACAGTGGAGAGGAGGAGGAGGAGGAGGAGGAGGAGGAGGAGGAAAAGGAGGAGGAGGAAAAGGAGGAGGAGGTGGAGGACCAGAGGAAATCCAGGATGCATCAATGATGCTGCAATGCACCTTCCCGTCTCGAGTTCCCTCCTCATGAGTCCCTACAAGCTTCCCTTTTGAGTACGAAAAGCGCCCCCCTGAAAGACCAGCACTCTATTGGCCTGTCGTTCAGGCGAGAGCCCCACTTTGAGAAAGAGCTGCCCTGTCTGCTTCAGCGCATCATCAGGAGTGCGAGGAGGTAGTTATTGTCATACAGCTCAACTGGGCGCTGAGAGGTATTTCCATTTTGAAAATCGACTCCGAGACATGATCTTCGAGATAGTCTCGAGGGAGAGCCTCATTTTGGAAAGGGATCTTCCTTCATGTATGCAGCTGCTACAACCGGGAGACGCCCGTTTCGCCCGAAACGGTTTCGCCCGCGGGTGAAACCGTCCCGGGCGAAACCGTCCCGGCGGGCCAACCGTCACCGAGAGAAGCCGTCACCTGGCGAAACCGTCCCAGGCGAAACCGTCCCGGGCGAAGCCGTGCTTGGCGAAACCTTCCCGGGCGAAACTGTCCCGGGCGAAATCGTCTTGGGCGAAACCGCCGGGGCGAAACCGATCCGGGCGAAACAAAGCCGGACGAAATGGATCGGGCGAAATCGACCGGGCAAAATCGTTCCAGGCGGAGCCAACCGGGCAAGATCGTCCGGGGCGAAAAATTCAGGGCGAAACCGTCCTGGGCGAAACCGTCCTGGGCGAAACCGTTCTGGGCGAAACCGTCCCCGGCGAAACCGTCCCGGGCGAAGCTGTCCCTGGCGAAATCGTCACCAGGCGAAACCGTCACCAGGCGAAACCGTTTCGGGCGAAACCGTCCTGGGCGAAATCGTCCCGGGGGGGTCGATAAGAGCGGATGGGATGCTACGAATTCATACCCAAGATCTTTGGGCGATGAGGCCACATCATACGTACATTGGTCATCCCAGGGGGAAACGCGAATGCCGGGGTGGTGGACGTGTTGCTTTAGAGAGGTCAATTTATGTGGTGCAACCTGCGAGGCTTGTGCAGTCAAACTTGCGGCCGAAATGCGGCGGCGACGGGCGGCCACACGCCGGGCTGACTGGCACACCTTGCCAGACGGGCGGCGGCGACGGGCGGCGGCAGACGGCCACATGACGACAGGACTGGCACGCAGGGCCAGGCGGGCGGCGGCGACGGGCGGCGACGGGGCGGCGACGGTGCGGTGGGGCGGCCACAAGCCGGCCGGGGCGGCACACCAGCCCGTTTCTTCGCACGACAAAGAAGAGTCCCCAAGTGGAACCACTGATTGGGGAATCAGGAAAGCTGATGACGGAGGACAACGCCGACGAGGACAAAGGGGATGACGAGAAGGAAGTTGCCCTCCGTCGCCCCTCAGCGCGGACCTGGTCGTGTTCGACGGCTTCAACGCCGAAGAGCGCTTCGGCCACTACGTGAGGGACCTGGCTCCGGGGGCGATGCGCGTGCTCGACATGCAGGACCGCCCGGCCTTCCAGGTAACAGCGCTTAGGCGTTTTGGAATGTACTTGGCACTGTGTCCAAGTTTCTGAGCGACTCTCCCTTCTGCTCGACTCCAGAGGCCTCGAGAGACCTCTGGAGGTCCTAGGCTTATCAGGCCGTGATCTCTCTCAGTCTGGGCGAGCTGCGTGGCTCCTGAGGGCTGTGCTTCGGGGCCCGAAAGCATTCACATAACCAGCCGCCGGAGTGAAACACCTGTCCCAAAACAGGACTCGGGGGCTCTGGGGCCCGCGTGTAAGACAACTGGAAGCGTCGAAGTCGGATACCATGTCGTTCGGCGGATGGCAGTCACAATAACCTCGTGGGGCATGCGAGATCTGGCGGCTCGCGGGGCACAGCTATGCACGGGCTGCGCAAGTTGATTTTGTTGCCCCCTTGGAAGAGCTCCCAGACATCCATTTACCACCACGCCCCGTGATCCCCGCGTTCCCATTCCAGGTGAGCGACGGAGAAAGCAGGGCCGACTGCGGGAGATTCGCGCAAGCTGCCCGCGTAAGGCCTTCTATGATGCCTTCCGCTTTGGCTGCCCGCGTGAGCCATCGCGGAGGGCCGCTCTATCCTCGTTCGGAAGATCCGTTCTTCTTCGTCGCTCAGGTGGCGGCGGTGGTGACTCCCTTTTTCTGGCTCCTCCCTCCCCTCGTCTACTGCTCATCCTCCGCTGCGGCGCCGCGCCGCGCATGCACGCGCGTGGGGGCGAGGGGAAGCGGAGGAGAGCGGAGGAGGAGGAGGAGGAGGAGGAGGAGGAGGAGGAGGAGGAGGAGGAGGAGGAGGAGGAGGGGGAGGGGGAGGAGGAGGAGGAGGAGGAGGAGGAGGAGGAGGAGGAGGAGGAGGAGGAGGAGGAGGAGGATCAGGAGGACGAGGACGAGGACGAGGAGGAGGAGGAGGACGTCTTGGACCCGTCTTGGAGACCATCGAACAAAGGAGGGGGGTCCTCGATTTGCCGCCCCCCTCCGGGGCCATCAATATCGCCTCTTGGGGCCCTCGTGGGGCGCTTTTTGCGATCGTGGGCGCTCTTGGGGCCGTCTTGGGGGCCTCTTGGAGCTTTTTTGGGCCATCTTGGGGCCATGTTGAGGCCTTAACAGCGCATCGGAAGCGAAACGGCGAGAAGGTAAACATCATCAGTTTCCCTTAGGTTTTTGACTGATTTTAGGCTCTTGGAGGGGTCCTGAGGGGTCTCCAAGAGCACCTGGAAAAGTCTTGTGGCCGTCTTGGGGTGTCTGGGAGGCATGTTGGAAGCTGTCTTGAGTCATGGTGGGCTATTTTGAGCGATCTTGGAGGCCATGTTGGGCTCTCTGAGGCCCTCTTGGAGCCACATTGTGCGAGAAAGGACCCTCTGACACATCGCGGGGCGCCCCGTCCAGGTCTGGTGAGGGGGTAGGGGAGGGGTCAAGATGCCCTCCCCGCCCGCAAGCCGTCTCGCTCACTCCCACCCGCCCTCCCAACACATACGCAACACCCGAGCCTGACCCGAGCCGAAGCATATGCTGCAGTTGTCTTTGGATGGGCAGCTACGGGGGGCGAATCCGCCGCCGCCTCCGCCGCCGCCGCCGTCCGCCGCCGCCGCTGCCGCGCCGCCGCCGCCGCCGCCGCTGTCCGCCGCCGCCGTCGCCACCGCGCTGCACGCCGCCGCCGCCGCCGCCGCCGCCGCCGCCGCCGCCGTCGCCGCCGCCGCCGCCGCCGCCCCCGCTGCCGAATCGCGCCGCCGCAGCCCTGCCGACCGCTGCCGCCGCCGCTGCCGCCACCGCCGCCGCGCCGCCGCCGCCGCCGCCGCCCCCGCCGCCGCCGCCACCGCCGCCGCCGCCACCGCCGCAGCCGTCGCAGCCGCTGCCGCCGCAGCCGCCGCCGCCGCCGCCGCCGCCGCCGCCAAGCGTACTCTGTATTGTTTTTTGGCAGGGATGGTGGGGGGAGGCCGCATCGGGTTCGCTGCGCATGCTCCGAATTTGGAGGTAGAGTGTGTGTTTGCATTTTTTACAAGGGATGGTGGGGGGGGCCCTCATTGGCTCGGGTTGGCTCCTAGCCGCCTGGGGGAAGGGGTGTATATTAATAGGGAACAGTGATAAGCCCCTCCCCGAAGGGGAAGAAGGGATAGTGGAAGAGGAAAGAAGGACATCATTAGACCACCTGTCGCCCAGAGGGCTGGTGGGAGCTGCGCCAATCCTCCTCGTGCTCAGGCCAGCGCCTGTTGGGTCTCGGGCCAGAAAGCCCCGCCAGGGAGAGCTCTGTCCAGCTCGGCAGCGGCCAGAGGGAGACGCCTGTCAATGGTGCAAGCTGCCCAGACGTCGCCCATGAGCTCGACTCAACTCGACTCCGCCTCCAGGGGCCCCAGGGCGATCCCAGTGGTGAGGAGGTGAGGATCTGGAGGAGGTGGAGGGCTGCTTACAGCAGGTGGCGCTCACAGCGCCCATGGCCCCCTGGGTCCGAGGGCTCGCTGCTAGATCCAGCAGGGCCTGCCACAATCAACCGTCAAAGAGTAGTCAGCAGAGGTTGAACATGCGAGATTGCCGATCATCGATGAGGATGAGGAGGTCTGATGCCTCCTTCTTTTTCCCGCCACTCTCTGCCGCGCCGCCGGCGTCGCCGTCGTCGCTTTCGTCGTCGCCGCCGCCGCCGCCTCTTAGGGGCAATGTTAGGGGGGGATGGGTTCAGGGGGGATGCGTGGAGCCCCAATTGCCCACTCCGCCCTGGACCGTGCGGTTTCGCTATCGGTGGCCTATCTCGGCGACGCATCGCCGATTCCAGCTCGATGTTTCCCCCCCTCTGCCCTGAGCCTGTCCTCCCATAACGTTCCACCCCCGCCTCCGCCGCCGCCGGCCGAGGACTTCCACGCGCTGCGCGCCGGGCGCGAGGAGCTGGTTGAGCGGGGCGCAACGCCCGCGGAGGCGGGCCGCCGCTGTCGTCGTTTTCCATCGGTCGTCGACGCCATCGCCGTCGTCGCCGCCGCGCCGCCAACGTCGTCGTCATCGTCTGTGCTGTTGTCGTCGCCGCCGTCTGCCGTCGTCGTCGTCGTCGCCGCCGCCGCCGTCGTCTGCCGTCGTCGTCGTCGTTGTCGTCGTCGTCGTCGTCCTCGTCGTTGTCATCGTCGTCGTCGTCGTCGCCGTAGTCGTGGTGGTGGTCGTTGTCGTCGTCGTGGTCGTCGTCGTCGTGGTCGTCGTCGTGGTCGTCGTCGTCGTCGTCGTCGTCGTCGTCCGTTGTGCGTCGTGGTCGTCCGCCGTCGCCGTCAGCGCCGCCACCGTCGTCTTCGTAGTCGCGATATTCAGCGTCGTCGTCGTCGTCTTTGTCTTTACCTTTGGCGCCGTCGTCATCTCAGCTGTGCAAGCCTGTCTTGACCCCGAAGGGGTTTCAAGGCGTCACCTGTCCTCCCCCTCCTCCTGCTTCTCCTGCTACCACTCCTCCCTCTCATCTTCGTCCTCCTACTGTTGGTCTCCCTCCTCTTGACGTCGCTTCAACCTTCTCTCCCTCCTCATGTAGGAACAGCGACAGGATCAGGGGCAGGAAGATGAGGCTGGGCTGAGGAGTAGGCGGAGTATGGGGAGAGGGTGTTAGGAGGAGAAGAGAGAGGAAGAGGGTGAGGAGGGTAAGAAGAAAGGACAGGAGTAGGAGGATGAGGGGGAGGAGAGGAGAATGGAGAAGAAGGAACATGATCCATACCTCTCACGTCATGTTTTTTCGTGACGTGTTACCCTGGATTTTTCGATCCCATCCTTGAGTTTTTTTGTTTGAATCCTGGGATGTTTTTCGATGGCCCTGAGGCCCGAAGCGGGTCTCCATATGCCTAAGATTGTTGACACCCGACCGTCTTTTTCTTGTTCGATTCGCTAGAGGTCCGTGCCCGAGGCCTCAACATAGACCCCTACCTATACGACCGCCATGCGGGCGATAAGGAGGTCGGGGGGGGATTGAGATGAAATGCCCGCCCTGACTGACCTCCAGCCTGTCACCTTGATCTCATCTCTCTCTTTCTCTCTGTCTCTCTCTCTCTCTCTCTCGCCCTCTCTCTCTCTCTCTCCCTCCCTCTCTATCAGAGTCTCCCTCCACCACAATGATGATCGCGATGACGATGAGATCCCACTATCTACCTATCCGTCGAATGCGCGGAGAATGCGCGCGGCGGGAGACGCCATGGCAGGCGGACGGAGGGGCGCCATGGGGCGGCTTCCGAAAGGCAAGGGCGCCGAACGCTCGAGCCTCGCAGTCTGCCGCGATCGCGCCCAGGCGCCGACAAAATTGAATTGATGGATCGGGCTGGGTGGATTGGATTGGATGGGATTAGATGGATTGGGTCAGATAAGGATGGGTTGGATTGGAAGAGATGGATTGGATAAGGTAAGATGGATTGGATTGGCCCTCCGCAGGCGCAGCAACAAATGAATTGATGGATTGGGTTGGATGGATTGGATTGGGTGGGATAAGATAGAATGGGGCAATATGGGTTGGATAAGATAAGATGGATTGGATTGGGCAAGATGGGCTGGATAAGACAAACTGGATAGGATAAGAAAGCCCGCCGCAGGCGCCGACAAATGAATTGATGGATTGGGTTGGGTGGATTGGATTGGATGGGATAAGATGGATTGGATAATATAAGATGGTTTGGATTAGAATACGTGGGTCTGATTATATACGATGGATTGGATTGGGCTGCCGCAGGCGCAGAAACAAATGAATTGATGGATTGGGTTGGATGGAATGGATTGGGTGGGGTAATACAAGATGGGACAACTTGGGTTGGTTAAGATATGATGGATTGGATTGGACAAGATGGATCGGATAAGATGAGCTGGGTTGGATAAGAAAGCCCGCCGCAGGCGCCGAAAACAACGAATTATAAAATTAACGACATGCGTTAGCGCCGGGACGGCCGGGACACCCGGGACACCCGGGACACCGCCCGGCCCAACTGGGACACCCCCTGGCCACCGGCGCACAGGAAACGGACTTTCGCTCCTATAACACCCGGGACATCCGGGACACTGCCCGGCCCAATTGGGACACCTCCCAGCCACCGGCGGACGGGGAACGGACTGTCGCTCCTCCGGCCACCAGCGGACGGGAAACTGACTTTCGCTCCTACTGATACCTGGGACACCCGGGACACCGCCCGGCCCAACTGGGACACTTCCCAGCCTCCGGCGGACGGGAACGGATTTTCGTTCCTACTTTGGCTTGGATCACGCGCAGCTTCGCCTCGCCCGCACGCACGACACGAACACGAAACCGAATTTCCCGGTGGGGTCTCCGTTTCACTGCGATCTCACCCCCCAACCTCCGACGTAACCTGTCCCGGGGTGCGCTCTGGCCATGATCCCTAGCGGGGAATCCAGCTGTGGCGTCGAGAGAGTTCCTGGAGATCCAAGAAGAGTGAACACACATCAAAATCCTCACTTCGAGGAGGAGGAGGAGGAGGAGGAGGAGGAGGAGGAGGAGGAGGAGGAGGAGGAGACAAAGGAGACAGAGGAGGAGAGGAGGGAGACAGAGGAGGAGACAGGAGGAGACAGAGAGGAGGAGACAGAGGAGGAGACAGAGGAGGAGGAGGAGGAGGAGGAGGGAGGAGGAGGAGGAGGAGGAGGAGGAACGTAGAAGGAGGAGGAGGAAAAGGAGAAGGAGAGGAGGAGGAGGATGAGTAAAAGGAGGGGAAGGAGGGGGAGGAGGAGCAGGAGGAGGAGGAGCAGGAGGAGGAAGAGGAGGAGGAGGAGGAGGAGGATCAGGAGGAGGAGCAGGAGGAGGAGGAGGAGGAGGAGGAGGAGGAGGAGGAGGAGGAGGAGGAGGAGGAGGAGGACGCGCTCGGGGCGTGGCGCCGCGCGCCCGCGCAGGTCAAGGCACACCGCCCAGGCGTGGGCTCGCCGGTGCTGCTCAGGCGCGCGTTGTGCCGCCGAAGGGTCGTCGTCGTGACCGGCTCGGATAGGCTGATAGGCTCAGAGACAAAGTTAGGAGATGCCAGAGCCTACGGCCCAGTGCTGGCACCCTTACGAGCAAGAGGGGTAATAATTATGTTCTCTTCATGGTGAACGGTAGGGTGGGATAGGCTCTGGGGGTATGCAGCAAACCCCAATCGCGTTCTGAGGGCCCACGTCGCACAGGAACGTTCGGATTTGCCATAAGGGGGCCTAGCGCCGATCCGTCGACGATGTGTGGCTGATTCCAGCTCGATGTTTCCCCCTCCTGGGCCGGTCCCCCCCCGTGACGTTCTCCCTCTCACGAGGAGTCGTCGTCGTGGCTGACGAATATCGGAGGTCTTCGAAGGGTTCCGGTGTTTGTCGGAGTTTCTCGGGGTCTCTCAGGTGTTCTTGAACTTGGCATTGTCCCCTTGCCGCTGTCTGTTCAGTCGTCATCACCCTCAAAACCGCAAGGGCTCAAATCGGCACAGTTGAGCACCCAGCAGCGCTTTTCTCTCGGTGCGTGCCGAGGCACGGCCACACAGCAGGCACGATTCGGTGCGGCCTTGGCTCAGCGGGGCTCTTCGCCTTGCTGGGCCTCACGAGGAGGCTATCGAGGAGGGCACTGCCCTCTCGTCTGCCGACGGTGGGTAGGGGGACCTGCTGGACTTCTTCGGCCGTGCAGTTGGGTGCGGCAGTTCGGCCAACCCCTCCTGGAACCTTCCCGAGGCAGGTTTTTGGAAGGTTTTGGGAAGTTTGCTTCACAAGCCCTCCTGAGGAAGGTTTTTGTAAGGTTTTCGGAAGGTTCTTCCAAAAAAGCCATCCTCAGGTTTTAGGAAGGTTCTTCCAAACAAAAACCTTCCTGAGGAAGGTTTGTTGAAGGTTTTAGGAAGGCTCTCCCAAACAACCCTCCTGAGGAAGGTCTTTGGAAGGTTTTAGGAAGGTTCTTCCAAGAAGCCGTCCTGAGGGAGGTTTCTGGAAGGTTTTAGGAATGAGTTTTCCGAAAACCTTTCAAGGACCTTCCTCAGGAGTTGTGTGTTGGAAGGACCTTCCGAAAACCTTCCAGAACCTTCCTCAGGAGGTTTTTGTTGTTGTCGTTGTTGTTGTTGTTGTTGTTCTGCGGGGGGAAGAACCTTCCTAAAACCGTCTACAAACCTTCCGCAGGAGTTTTGTTTGTTTGATGATCTCCTCAAACTCTTCAATCACCTTACTCAGGACGTTTTTTTGTGTTTGAAGGGCCTTTTCTAAAACCTCCCAAACAACCTTCTTCTTGATTTTTGTTTGAATACTATTCCTTAAACCTTCTTGACACCTTCCTCATTTTTCATGTTTAAAAAGAGCCTTTTTAAAAAACCTTCGAACAGCACTTCATCAATAAGGTTATATATATATGTATATATATATAATTATCATTTTTTTTTTTTTTTTTTTTTTTTTTTTTTTTTTTTTTTTTTAAAAGAGACACTTCCTAAAACCTTCATAAGACGTCCTCCGGACGGTTTGTTTTGACGAACAGCCTTCCTCAGGAGGGTTATTTTGGAGTAGCCTTCCTGACTCCTTCCGAACACCTTCCTCGGGAGGGTTTTTGTTTGAAAGAACCGTCCGAAAACCTTCCATCAACTTTTCTCGGGAGTTTTTTTTGGAAGAGCCTTCCTAAAACATTCCAGCAACCTTCCTCGGGATGGTTTTGTTGGAAGAAACTTCTTAACATCTTCCAACAACCTTCCTCGGCAGGGTTTCTTTGAATAACCTCCCTAAACTTTCTGGAAGCCTCCCTTAGGATTGTTTTGAGTCGGAAGGTTTTTGGAAGGTTGTTTGGAAGGTTGTTTGAAAGGTTTTTGGACGGTCGGTGGAATGTATGTGGAAGGTTGTAGGAAGGTTGTTGGGATTTTTTTTTTTTTTGGGGGGGGGAATTGGTCGAAGGTTTTTGGAAGGTGTTTGAACGATTTCTGGCATGTTTTTGCACGGCTATTGGAAGGTTGTTGGAAGGTTTTTTGGAGGTTGTTGGGAGGTTTTTGGAAGATGTCGAACAGGTTTCTGGATTTTGTTGACCAGCCTTACACAAACCTTCCTCGCTACCCCCCCGGGAAAACATTCCAAAACCTCACAACAACAAAAAAAACTTCCTCAGGATGAATCCAGGAGGGGTTCCGCGAACTGCCGCACCGGTCTCCGGCCGTGGGAGCGCCGAGTATACAGAGGACGCGAGCGAGGAGGTGCAGGAGCTGAATCCGGGATAAGCGAGACGTGGCACCGCGAGAGGAAGTCGCAGGGCTGGGCAGCAAACCGTACGTGATGGCGGGGTGTTTTCGGTGGGATCCGATCTACTACCGCCCGAAAGGGCAGCCGCAGGGCTCTGCCATGCTACTGGTGCAGCGAGCGGGCAAGGCGGCATATCAAATTCTAAACGCTTCGCGTCAGCCGTAACCCTGGTGACGAGTGACCCGCGAGAGCTCAAGGCACCCTCTCTGACTGTCAGAAGTAGGTGCCCTTGCTCCCTGACGGCCTTCGGGGCACCCTTGGCGGCCAGCAGACCCCGCAAGAAGACACAGGGGAAGGGAACGGAACGGGTCAGAATGAGGCACCCCCGCTCCCTGACGCCCTTGCGGGCGCCCCTGGCGGCCAGCAGACTGGGCCAGAAAACGCAGGAGGAGAGAGATCTTCAAGAACTCTCGCGGCCGTTAGCGGCAACCCTGGCGGACAGAGACCCGCAACAGCTCAGACGGCCGTCAGCCGCAACCCTGGTGGCGAGGGCCCCACGGGACCTCAAGGCACCCCCCTCCGACGGTCAGAATGAGGTACCTTTGCTCCCCCAGCAGCAGCGGCAGCAACAGCGGCAGCAGCAGCGGCAGCCGCAGAGACCCACAACAGCTCAGACAGCCGTCTGCCGCAACCCTGGTGACGAGGGGCCCGCGAGACCTCAAGGCACCCTCTCTGACGGTCAGATATAGGTGCCCCTGCTCCCTGACGGCCTTCTGGGCGCCCCTGGAAGCCAGCAGAACCCACAAGGAGACACAGGGTCCGTCAGGCCAGAAGGGAGCGGAACGGGTCAGAATGATGTACCCTTGCTCCCTGATCCCCGGTCTCCGAGGCCGCAGGGGCATCTTGCATCTCAGTGCCCGAGCCATCTTCGCGACTCCAGCTGCGCGGAAGAGGTTCAGTGCCCGAGCCATCTTCTCGACTCCAGCTGCCCGGTTGGGTGGGGAGACGCGACCCTGGATGGCAAGGAAAAGGAGAGGGGGGCTGCGGCGGCAGGGGCGGAAGCTGCGGAGGCCGCGGAAGATCGGGGGCCTGGAGCGGCGGAGGCCATTGAAGGTGCGGATGAGGCGCAAGCCGTCAGCCGTGACCCTGGAGCAGAATCGGGTAGCCAGGGGTTGGCCTCCGAAAGTGCGGACGACAGCCGCAGCAGTCCGCGAAGCGAGATCCTGGGCCAGCAGGGGCTCGCCTGCCACAGCTTGCCATCCCCACCTTCTCCACAAAATGGGCAGACCGTCAGCGGTCCTCTGGGGGCGCCGCGTGCCCGACATGGGGGCCACGGACCAGCCGTTCAGACGCAGGACGTCGGAGCCATCCGCCGGCTCGTCGGGGGAAACCCCTTCGCGCCTATTCGCCCCCCTTCTCCTGCCAGTGAACCCGCCCGAATGGGCGGCGAACCTCAGGCGCTCCCTCCAGACGCCCAGGGCGCGCCTGACAAAAAGTTTTGTGCTCGCCCCCGCGCCCGGCGAGTGCCTCGCGGCGACCGAAGGGGGCGCGCCCGTGAGCGACGGCGGGCGCGGGCCCGAAGGCGAACGCCAGCGAAAGGGGCCTCTCCCCGCACACCTCAGGGCAGCGTCCGCCCGGGCTGCCCGAGGCGATCCGGCCCCTGCTTGGCGGCCAAATACGCGGCCCGCGCCTGCCAGCAGGGCCCCGCCAGGCGTGCAAACGGAACTGTCGCAAACAGATTCCGAGCCCTCCGCCCAGGACAGCAGGGCTGATTCGCCAGGGACTTGCGGCCAGAACGCGCGGCAGCGCCAATGGCCAGAGCCGCGCCAGTGGCCAGAGCCTTCAGACCCCGACACAGGACAACAGCTGTACAAAGCAAAGATCGGCACCGTCCAGTGGGGCCTTCCCGGGGAGACACCCGGCGAGGCGATGAGGCGGCTCCGAGTCACTCCGGGGGCAACGTTCACAGGCACCTGGCACGCTGTCGCCGCGCAGCAGGCCGCGCCCGGCAGCGAGGGCGCGCTCGACCCGCTACGGCACGACCCGCAAACTTGCCTTCGCTTCCTGGATGCCTTCCGCAGCCACAAGTGCGACGTACGGGCCGTTAGCGGCGCGCTGGGCCTCGGCGTCGACTGGGCTCAGCTGCGGCATCGGCGCCCGGGTCGAAGCGGCGGCGCGGGCAGGGGTCGCCAGACGGCAAAGGGCCACCCGGACACCCGCGCGCCCAGGAAGGGCAAGAAACAGTGGCTGGTCGTCTCCCCATCGCAGCCGTTTGCTGCCGCCCTGGCGGTGAAGGGTCCGCGCGCGCTCCTGTCCAGCGGCCGTGCCCCTGGGCCCCCGCCCCGTCGCCCCCCTGGCGGGGAGGGGCCCGCGGGGCTCGAGGTACTCTGCGTCCCGGCGCTGTCGGCCAAGGGCCGTCTGCCGCCGCCCCCCGCGCGCGCTCCGTCTTCACTCAACCCAGAGCGGCGGTCAGCCGCGACCCTGGAGCAGAGACTACGGGCACGAGGCATCCCAGGAGGGCTCGGGCTACTCTTGCATCCCGGCGCTGTCTGACAAGGGCCGCCTGCCGCCACCCTCCGCGGGTGCTTCGTCTCCGCCCTGCCCAGAGCGGCGGTTTGCAGCGACCCTGGATCCACGCCGGGAGCAGCTGTGACAGCGGGCACGACACCCCCTCTCTACACTTCAGCAGCGGTCAGCGGCGTCCCTGGATGTACCACCACGCACCCCCCATGGATGCGTCGGCCTTCGAGGTGGCAGCACTGCCTTCAGCGAGTCAGTCCACCGGCTGCAGACTGCCCACCCAGGACCACACCAGCAGTGGGCGAACATATCGACCGTTCGGTATTACCTTCCTCTCAGCGGCGGTTAGTTGCGACCCTGGATGCACGCGGGGGGCAGCAGAGACTACGGGCACGTGGCCTCCCGAGGGGGTTCAAGGTATTCTTGCATCCCGGTGCTGTCGGCCAAGGGCCGTCTGCCGCCACCCCCCGTGCACGCTCCGTCTTCTCTCAACCCAGCGGTTTGCCGCGTCCCTGGATCCATGCGGGGAGTTGCAGAGACTTCGGGCACGAGACATCCCGCGGGAACTCGAGGTCCTCCACGCGGGGAGTTGCAGAGACTACGGGCACGTGGCCTCCCACGGGGGCTCAGGGTACTCTTGCATCCCGGCGCTGTCTGACAAGGGCCGTCTGCCGCCGCCCTCCGTGGGCGCTTCGTCTTCACCCGACCCAGGGCTGCGGTTTGCAGCGACCCTGGATCCACGCGGGGAGCTGCTGAGACTACGGGCACGACACCTCCTCTCTTCACTTCAGCAGCGGTCAGCGGCGTCCCTGGATGCACCACCACACACACCCCATGGATGCGTCGGCCTTCGAGGTGGCAGCACTGCCTTCAGCGAGTCAGTCCACCGGCTGCAGACTGCCCACCCTGGACCACGCCAGCAGTGGACGAAAAGGTCGACCGTTCGGTATCACCTTCCTCCCAGCGGCGGTTAGCTGCGACCCTGGATGCACGCGGGGAGCAGCAAAGACTACGGGCACGTGGCCTCCCGCGGGTGCTCAAGGTACTCTTGCATCCTTGTGCTGTCGGCCAAGGGCCGTCTGCCGCCACCCCCCGTGCACGCTCCGTCTTCACTCAGCCCAGAGCGGCGGTTTGCCGCGTCCCTGGAGCTGTGGCTACGGGCACGTGGCCTCCCACGGGGGCCCAGGGTACTCTTGCGTCCCGGTGCTGTCTGACAAGGGCCGTCTGCCGCCGCCCTCCGTGGGCGCCCCCCTCCAGTCAACTCAGAGCGGCGGTTTGCCGCGACCCTGGATCCACGCGGGGAGCTGCTGAGGCTACGGGCGCGACCCGGCTTGGTGCCCCTCGGGGAACGGCGGCCGTGTCCCCTGCCGGGTCCACGCGGGGAGCAGCAGAGGCTACGGGCACGTGGCCTCCCGCGGGAGCTCAAGGTACTCTTGCATCCCGGTGCTGTCAGCCAAAGGCCGTCTGCCGCCGCCCCCCGTGCTCGCTCCGTCTTCACTCAGCCCTGCCGCGACCCTGGATCCATGCGGGGAGTTGCTGAGACTACGGGCGCGAGACCTCCCACGGGGGCTCAGGGTACTCGTGCGTCCCAGTACTGTCTGGCAAGGGCCGTCTGCCGCCACCCTCCGTGGGTGCTCCGTCTTCACTCAACCCAGAGCGGCGGTTTGCAGCGACCCTGGATCCGCGCTGGGAGCTGCTGAGGCAACGGGCACGAGACATCCTCTCGACACTCCTGCAGCGGTCAGCGGCGTCCTTGGATGTACCACCACACACACCCCATGGATGCGTCGGCCTTCGAGGTGGCAGCACTGCCCTCAGCGAGCCAGTCCACTGGCTGCAGACTGCCCGCCCTGGACCGCGCCAGTAGTGGACGAAAAGATCGACCGTTCGGAATACCTTCCTCTCTGCGGCGGTTAGCTGCGACCCTGGACGCCCCTCGGGGAGCGGCGGCCGTTCCCCCGGCCAGGCGCACCTGGGATCCGTGCGATGTGCGGTGATGTCGGCAACCGGGATGTCACTTCGGGCAGACCGTCAGCAGTCCATGCGGAGAGTAGCAGAGACTACGGGCACGAGACATCCCACTGGGGCTCGGGGTACTCTTGCATCCTGGTGCTGTCTGACAAGGGCCGCCTGCCGCCACCCTCCGTGGGTGCTCCGTCTTCGCTCAACCCAGGGCGGCGGTTTGCCGCGACCCTGGAGCTAGGTCTCAGTTTTGTCACACCGCAGGCGCCATAACACCAGCGGCGGTTAGCTGCGACCCTGGATGTACCAACGCACGCCGTCCCCACGGAGGCGCCGGCCTCCGCGGTGGCAGCCCAGCCTTCAGCGAGTTAGTCCACTGGCTGCAGGCTGCCCACTCTGGAACACACCAGCATCGGACGAAAGTCCTTCCGTTCGGTACTACCTTCCTCTCAGCGGCGGTTAGCTGCGACCCCGGATGCCCCTCGGGGAACGGCGGCCGTGTCCCCTGCCGGGTCCACGCGGGGAGCAGCAGAGGCTACGGGCACGTGGCCTCCCGCGGGAGCTCAAGGTACTCTTGCATCCCGGTGCTGTCAGCCAAGGGCCGTCTGCCGCCGCCCCCCGTGCTCGCTCCGTCTTCACTCAGCCCTGCCGCGACCCTGGATCCATGCGGGGAGTTGCTGAGACTACGGGCGCGAGACCTCCCACGGGGGCTCAGGGTACTCGTGCATCCCAGTACTGTCTGGCAAGGGCCGTCTGCCGCCACCCTCCGTGGGTGCTCCGTCTTCACTCAACCCAGAGCGGCGGTTTGCAGCGACCCTGGATCCGCGCTGGGAGCTGCTGAGGCTACGGGCACGAGACATCCTCTCGACACTCCTGCAGCGGTCAGCGGCGTCCTTGGATGTACCACCACACACACCCCATGGATGCGTCGGCCTTCGAGGTGGCAGCACTGCCCTCAGCGAGCCAGTCCACTGGCTGCAGACTGCCCACCCTGGACCGCGCCAGTAGTGGACGAAAGATCGACCGTTCGGTATTTGCTCTCAGCGGCGTTTAGCTGCGACCCTGGATGCCCCTCGGGGAATGGCGGCCGTGTTCCCCGGCCAGGTGCACCTGGGATCCGTTCGATGTGCGGCGATGTCTGTCCCCACCGCCTATCCCCGCGGGTCCCTCTCGGGCTGGGCTCTGGCCACATCCACTCCTTGGGGGCCCCTCCGCGTGACGTCGGTGGTGTCTGTCCCCACCGCCCCTCCCCTCGGGTCTCCCCCAGGATGGGCTGCCGCCAGGCTTGAATCCTGGTCTCGGAGTCGATCGTCCCCGCGCCCCTGGGCTGCCCAGGACCCCCGCTGACAGCGGTATCTTTACCTCGCCTTCAGCGGCGGTTAGCTGCGACCCTGGGCGCCCGCGTGGAATGACGGACTCGACGGACACCCTGGTTCCCTGCGGGGAATGGCGGATTCGGCGGATAAGGCTGTCCCACGGTGGCCTTCGGCGTACATCAGGCGGCAGCTGCGTGCAGTTCCACCCTGGACGCCCCACCTTGCTGGCGATTTTCTCTCCCACCAGCTTGGCCTCACGCAGCGCCCTCCCTGGGTCCCCCTGCCTCGCTGGCGATGTTCACCACGCCAGCCTGGCTTTCTCCTACAGTCCATCTGGCGTCGGCTCTGTGCCGTTGTTGGAGGGGCCGGCCCACTGACGTCCGGGCCTCCCACGGGCACGGGACGATGACCCCTTGGGTCCCAGAGGGTCTTTGGATCAGAAATTCGGATCGGGCGTGAAAATGTATGTTTATGACATGTATGCCTTAAAAGTGATCTGGTATTTTTGCACATGTAAAAATAAGCCAAATAATTCAGAACCACGCGCAATATTAATATTGGCTGCAAGGTTCACTGTAAAAATACGCCGCAGGCCCCGATTCATTCAAATTCGTAAATTATCATCTGATGGTGCCTAAATTATAAGACATAAGGCCATTCAGCGCGATTGGTGGGCGGAAGGGGTGGGATGTCAGCTGTGGCTCTGCCGCGCCTAGCTTGCCTCCTGCGTTTTCGCTATGCTGCCATTGCTGGTCCTGTCGCCGTCGCCGTCGCTGTCGCGCCGCCCGCGTCGTATATACTGGGCATCGTCGTCGTCTATCTCGTCGTCGCCGTGTCGTCGTGTGCCGTTGTCGTCCCAATCGTCGTGGTCTTCTTGCGTTTCTGCGTCATCCTTCTCGCCCCCCCGCTCTGCCGCTGCTCCTCCCCCGTGTCTTTTTTGACGCCGCCCGAGCAATCACAATTCTCATTGCTTGCTCCTGTGCCCCAGCCTTCGTCCTTTTTTGTGAAGCCGCGCTGGCTCGATTATGGTACTTTGGGGGCAAGTGCCACGACAGGCGTGGCAAACACCTATCGGCAAGGCGCTCGTGTCAGGAGAGCGCCTCGAGATGAGCGACGAGGTGCCATCGCCCTTGCGGCGAACGCGGCACCGTCGCTCGATCACGATTCCAGAGCCAGAGACGGTAGTCGAGGGTGTGCCCATCTCGGAGCAGCAGGTTTGTGCAGAGACGTTGCCAGACGCTCTGCCGCCGCCGAGCGCAGAATCGCTCGAGCGGCTCGCGCTGCCTGACTCTAAGGAGGAGAAGGCTGACCACGATGTGGAGATGGCTGACCCCGACATGAAGCAGGTGCTCAAGGAGTCCGAGGACCTGGAGGAGCACAGGAAGCAGGTGGCGGCATTCGATCAGAAGCAGGTTGAGGTTGCCTTGAAGGCAAGCCGCGATCTTGCGGAGAGCAAGGGCATACTCGTCGAGGACTCGCCGCCCGTGGAGGACCTTCAGCAGCCCAGGGCGGGGTCGAGTTGGGGCGAGAGGATGGAGAGCCTGAGCCCAGACACCCGCAGGCGGCGTCTGATCATGGTCGAGGCTGGGATTCACAACCTGGTGGACCACATGCATCGGGCAGCGACAGAGTTGTCGGCAGTGGCTGATGCGACATCTGAGGCCGAGACGTTGCCTGCAGCCGCCAAGGAGCTGAACAGCCAGGCTCACGCGCAGCAGCGGGAGCAGGCAGCGGGGCCATCGCGCCATGGGCGGGAGTCAGACTCGGATGCGGAGCCGCTTAGCCAGAAGGCTTCGCGAGCAGCGGGCACGCCACTCTCGCAGGAGCCTCCGCGCGCGCTGCAGGAGCCCTTGCGGGAGCCTCAGCCGCGCCTGCAGGAGCCTCAGCCGGCGGCGGCGACGCAGCAGGCGACGCCGCCCGAGGGCGTGATGCAGCAGCAGGAGGCGGCGACGCAGGCCGAGAAGGAGTGCTCGGTAGGACAGGGCGATGCGGCGGCAGGGAGCAGGCAGCGCGCATCAGACGAGAAGATCAGGGCGGTGCTGGAGGACATTGGATACTCATATGATTGAGCGTCACACCTCCCAGTCCCATCCCAAATGCAAATCCCAGTGCAAATCCCAATGCATTGGGATTCGCGTTGGGATTTGCATTTGGGATGCTGAATCTGTCTTCGGCCCCGTTAGCTCAGGACAACGAGGAGGCCGCCAAGGCCTTCGAGACGCCCGTGAAGCAGCTGAGGTCGTGCATCCAGCACGCCGCGCCGCTGCTGAAGCAGTTCGAGGAGCTTCGCCGCTCCGCTACCTAGCTCTTTGATGCCCACTCGTCGTATCCTCGCCTCCCACATGATGCAACTCTCCTCCGATCTCGTCGTCGTCCTCCTCCTCCATCTCGACACCGTCTTCCGATATCGACGTCGCCCTCCGATTTGACGTAGTTGTTGTCGTCAGCCTCCTCAGTCGATCGTGACAGCCGTTGCGTGTGCTTGTCAGATGTCGTCCGCGCGTGCTGTCCGTCCCTCGCCCTGCATAGCCATGCCAGGCCGTCTGATATTAGGGGCCCCTCGTCGTCGTCATAAGCACCGCTGCCGCTGTCACATCCGTAGCGGGGATGGCTCGAGATATGTAGATACGAACTCGCACACAGACGGGCCGCGAATGGGACATGGCAAGGAGGAGCAACTCTTTCGGATATGGGCCTTCAACATCAGCCAGGCACGCGCACGTCGCAAACGTCCGTCTCAGGGGTTCGGAAACAATCCTTAGACATCAATCGTCCCACTGCCTTTCCTCGTCGCCCCCGCTCCCATTCCCATCTACATTATCCTCCTCCTCTTCTTCCACCTATTCTTCCTCCGTCTCCTACTCCTCCTCCTCCTCCTCCTCCTCCTCCTCCCTCCTCCCCCTCCCCCTCCGCATCCGAAACAATTCGTAAATGCCGAACTCGTGTGACGGGGATTTGCCGAGGCAGATTCAATATCGTATTCCACGGCAAAGATCCACGACGCCAAGATGTCTAAGAAGAACCTTCTCCGCTACGCAGATTTCTTGGTGGAGACCAGACAGGTGCATACTAAAGTGAAGCCGATCGTCGCTAAGGCACCTGAGCTTCGATTCTCTTGGGGGCAGGGGGGCTTTCAGATGTTTAGGGCATCCGGTGTTAACGGTGTTCTCCGCTCAGGCTGTCTTGAGGCGCGTGGCGGCGCGGTACGAGCCGTCGTGGCACATGTCTGGCGCCACCGAGGCGTGGATAGAAGATACACGCAGAATGGTACGACACATGTTGAGGCACGTCGGCCAGGCGCTTTACAAGACAGACCTGGGTGAAACCGCGGCTGGGGGGGCACTCGGGAACACGCAGGGCGTTCGTCGCCAGCAGGAATGGATTCGACTCGTTTTCCTGATCACGAAAAAAAGAACCGAAGCTCGGGGCAGTCACCCTGCACAGGAAAACAAAGTGGGCGCAAGATGCATTCGGAGATGCGAAACACGGAGACGGAGAAGAAGAGGATGACGAGGAGGAGGGCGAGGTAAGAGCCAAGGAGCACACGAAAAAGACGATGACATCCAAACCAGACGCGAAGGACATTAGGGAGAAGTCGGCCTCACTCTCACTCCATGTCATGGGGGTGCGTTTCGGGGGACAAGCCTGGGTCCGATCTGAGTCGGGGGTCAGGTTTCTCAAGGGTTGCGTTCAGGTTTTCCAGGGCGGGGGAGCGAGAGTGACGTGCGACATCGTCAAGGCTAGTTCGTCCGCATCTGTAGCTCCGACGCCGTCGAAAGTCGTGATGAGGAACGGGGGGCGCTTCAGTCGAAGTGGGCTCGAGATTTTGCACACAGCGGACGGTTGGCACTTTGGTTGGACGGGGTTCATTCAGGCGGCGTCGGAACCGAATAACACCCACCCTGCCTTTTTTATCGAGCGTGCCATACGCTCGCGCAAGTATAACACATAGACTAGAACCAACATGGATGTGGGATGTTTGTTCGGTTCAGTCGCCATCTGGTGAGCTCTGTCGATCCACATCAGTCGGCTTGGCGATTCCCGATCGTCGGCGCGGACATCCCCGAGTACGCGCAGGCAGCTCCCGCCCCGCCAGATACGAGGCTCGTGGCCACTTGGCCAGACGGCTACACGTGGAGCGTGCCCAACACGTCAATGGAGATGGCGCAGGCGGCGCAAAGACATCGAGCGGGCGAGACCACCTTCTGGACGGGCAATGACCCGCGGAACGGCAACAATACCGTCCGCGTCATTGAGGTGCGCCACGCCATTCGCGGCAGGTGGCTTGCGATCTTCCTCCCAGGCAAGCAGATCATGCAGTTCCTCGGCTTCGGGGAGGCGAACTTCGAGCGCGCCGAGAAGTTCATGATTGAGGCTGCGAACAAGTACTGCAGGCAGGAGTGGGAGAAGGAGGAGATGGAGGCGAAGAAACACGAGCTGCTGCAGGAGCTTCCAGGTACGGACAAGAAGCGCAAGGCAGAGCAGGCTCGGACAGAACCTGACGGCGGCGCCCCTGCACGCAAACGTCCAGCTGCCGCTGCGAAGCCCAAGGCTCAGAAGAAGCAGAAGGCCAAGGTGGTCGACGACGACGACAGCAAGTCGCGCGGGGGCGCCGCCGACGGGCCCGTGGACAAGCCCGGCGACGAGGAGGAGGCCGAGGAGGAGCAGGATGCAGAACGTGGCCTCGATGAACGTCAAGATATGGCTTCTGGTGAGGAGAGCCAGGACGACGAGGAGCAGGCGGCCGCGAACGGAGAGGAGTCGGACGAGGTCCCGATCATGAAGAAGCCCGTCGTCATGCCGAGGGGCTCCGTCGCCAAGCATATGAGGAGGCCGTCAGCAGCGCAGCCCGAGGGCGACGTGGACGAGCTCGGCGGGGAGCCCGCGGCGGCCGCGGACACGCGTGGCGAGGGGCCAGAGGCAGAGGCAGCCACGCAGACGCCGCAGCCGCCTGCCATCATCGCCGCGGCCGCCCCGACGATCAAGAACAAGTTCTGCCCCCAGAACAGCGACAGTGAGTGATCTGTGTGCGCAACAGGGCAGAACATCTCATCGCACATCCACGCCATCCCATCTCATTTGACATCATCATCATCCACCTCCACCGCCACTTCAACCCCCACTTCTACCTCCGACCCCTCCTCATCACCCCCTTCTCATCCCCCAGACTCACCCCCTCATATACTTCTGCGCTAGCACCCCTCACACGTCTGATTGGTAACGTGCTCACGCCCGACTTGGGGGGGGGGGGGGGGGGGGGGGCTGTTCTCGCGCGCAAGCGTTGGCCCCGTATTCGGAGTCGATCTGGGGCCCATGGTCGGGATGATACAGCTCGAATGTTCGAGAAACTCCGCCGTCCCAGGACAGCGGGCGAAACCCCAATGCAAATCCCAATGCATTGGGGTTTGCATTGGGGTTTCAGCGGCGGCCCGAGACTCTGGTAATCCACGTGGTGTATATGAGGGCGAGGATGAGGATACGGATGAGAAGATGGTGATGATGATGATGGTGATGATGATGATGATGATGGCGATGATGATGGTGATGATGATGCTGATGCTGATATTGATGGTGATGGTGATGGTGATGGTGATGATCATGATGATCATGATGATGATGATGCTGATGATGATGATGATGCTGATGATGATGATGATGATGATGATGATGAGGATGATGATGAGGAGGATGATGAGGAGGATGAGGAGGAGGAGGATGATGCGGAGGAGGGGAAGGAGGAGGGGGTGGAGGAGGAGGAGGAGGAGGGAGGGGGAGGATGCGGGGGAGGATGGGGGGATGATGAGGAGGAGGAGGAGGAGGAGGAGGAGGAGGAGGAGGAGGAGGAGGAGGAGGGGGGGGAGGAGGATGAGGAGGAGGAGGATGAGGAGGAGGAGGATGAGGAGGAGTAGGAGGAGGAGGATGAGGAGGAGGAGCAGGAGGGGGGTGGAGTAGGAGGGGGGAAGGGCACAGGCAGTGATCGGACACCCTCCCACCGCTGCCCGACGGCAGGATTCCGTCGCGATCCACCTGTCCAACCATCCAACCAGTCGGGGGTTGACGAGATGGCCATCAGCGACGCAATCTTGTCTCTCTACCACAACCCAGCGGTCCGCAATGTGATGGCCGAGAAAGGATTCGGCAACATGAATGACTGTATGAGGCAGCTCGCTAGTGATATAGGCTCGAGCGGGGAGCTCGCAAATGCTGGTAGATGGGGCATCGGGGAGAACACGAACCCCACGCCCGCGGATGAGGATGTTGATGCAAAGGTTGGGCGCAACAAAGGCACATTCGATGAGGAGAAAGCATTCTGGGAGAGCTTGGAGGAACGGAACTGGTACATTCCCCTCGAACACGGTTCCAAACCGTTGTCGGACACTGAGATCGCGGCCATGGGCCGCTGGCAGAGAGCTCTGAAAGAAGACGGCTCACTGAAATCAGACTACGGGAACATAGCGGCTGGCCCTGGGATCAACAAGCGGAAGTCGGATTTCAGGTCGAAGTGGGCCAAGGGTGAGTACCAGAGGTTGATGGATCATGGGCTCGAACAGTGACCCACCATCCATCCACCCTCGCCACTAGCATCCTTCTCTTCCTCGTCCGCCTCCTCTCTTCACCCCCTCCTTCTCCCCTCCTCCTCACCCTCCGCCCGTTCCTTATCCCCCAACGCACGCCATCCTCAACCGTCCTCCTCGTCCTGTCCCACTCTTTCTCTCGCCACCCCTCCTCATCTGGCTCCTCATCGCGCCAGTTGTCCCTCAGCAGTCCCCATCTGTCTCGCGCACCCTCTTCTTCTTTCTCACCACCCCTCTTCTCCCCCGCCCTGCGCCCCTAGGAATCCAAATCGCACTCGAAGAAGGAGAGCCGCGTTTCCTTTAGGCACGGGAAGTACTACGGCATCGGCAGAATTGCCGTCGAGGAAGGAGGAGGACGCCTGGGCTGGAAGCAGGCCATCTGTGGGATGGGAGGGGTCAGCTGGAGCTGTCGGAGACGCGTTATAGTTGGAACGTCTCACCCCCTGGTGGAGGTATATGAAGCGTGAACGGGGTGATGGGGGATGGGGTACGCTGAGCGTGAGGTCGAGAGCTTCGAGGCCCCAGAACACGAGGGGTTGGGGGTCGGGGTCGCGTGCGACGCCAGACAGGACACACGGAGGTGCGACCAGGGTGATGACGAGGGGCAGGAGCACGGGCAGGAGGAAAAAACGAGGAGGAAGCAGACGAGGAGGAGGCGGATGCGGGTGAATATGAGCAAGGGAAGCCACGAGGGGGAACAGAGAGGGACGATGAGGCATACGAGGAGGAT